CCGGGGGGGGGGGGGGGAGCCCAGCGGCATCTGGGGCTCAGACGTGGGCTCCGGCGCCCCGTGTGGGCTCGCCCCACTCTTCAGCCCCTCCTGGGGAGGCCAGCCTCCGCTTTGGGTGGGGAGGTAACCACGGTGTCACAACCCATGGAATCCCCAAACCCTGCACCCCCAGAGCCCACAGCATCCCCACCACGAGTCCCAGCTCCGCAGAGCCTCTTCAGAGGGGGAGCGTCCTCAGCGGCATCTACAGGGCAGTTCCTGGAAATGGCTTTGATTGGCCCTGCTGGGGTGACAGGGGAGGGTGCGGGTTCTGTGATCTGCAGCCCCCAAGAAGGGCATATGGGGGAAGGGCAGCTCCCCACAGGGACGTGGCACGCTGTCTCCAAATCTCGTTTGCTGACAGGGAAGCAAGGCTGTTTTGAGCTTGCAGATTTCCCCTTTAACTGTACGGGACGTGCAGTGACATGCAGTGAAGCTCAATTGTAATGTAATGTCTAAATGTCCAAATGTAGGACCTTCTTTGGTGAAGAAATGTAAAAAGTCTTTCACGGGGTGTGAGGAAATGATGGTGTTCTGACTTCGGTACCAAACCCAAGTGTCTCCTGCGACCCCCCATTAGCAGGGGGAGTGTGAGCTCACCCTCAGAAGAGCACATTCGTGCCCACTTTTCCCTTTCTTAATTAGATTTGTGAAAAGAAAGGACTGGTCCTTACCTTTTTTCAAGCCTAAAAGTTAAGAACACCTGGACCCCTTTCCTGCCCATCGCCTTGTGTCCCACAGCACAGTGTTCCCGTGTGTCCCCAGCATGTCCCGTGTCCAACTGTCCCAGCACAATCTCCCCTCTTTGGGGCACGTTCCCAAGGGCTCATCCTGTAACACTGTTGCACCCATTTGTTCAGCAGACATCAGGTGCCAGGTGAGCCCGGCCAGGTCAGCCCCGGGAAGCTCTCGCTCCAGCGGGAATGCCCCAAAAGCCAGCATCCTCCGGGGGCCTCGTTCAGGCCTCACACTCCCACTGCCTCTGCGTGCGGGCGGCCATGGGCCTCGGAGCCTGGGAGGGGCCGCCAGCACCAAGCTGCCTTCCTGGGAAGGCGGTTCCCGCAGCTCATCTGGGCCTCGTCTCCGCGGCCCTGGCCCTGCTGGCTGCTCGGCCCCCAGGCCTCCGGAGGCCCCGAGACCCCTCCTTCCTCCTGCCAGGGGCTGTGGCTGCCCCC